AACACAGTTAGAACCTGAGCAGCCAAATTCTTTGGGCATCTGCTTGAACACTTTTCTGCTCTTCTAGAGTTTTATCTACAATTCCCACAAATCGGCTAGCCTAATAATGACTAGGAAAACTAATTTACAATTAGTTGAAGGTGGAACAGCTAATGTTATCCTTTGCAATCAGGATACTGAAAGACTGACAAGGTCATATAGTTAAGAACTGAAAAATCAACGAAAATAAAAATAAAGCCTGTTAAGAAAGCCCCATACCATGAATATTAAACTCAACATGAAGACCTCTTATAGAAAAAGTACAAACAATAGTTTAACATTTTTTCTACTCATAATTATGAGCAATACTGAAATTCTCAGGAAGAAATCCGAACTGAAAACATTTAAAATCCAGTTTTGTGTCATAAATAGGAAGAAAACAGTGTGATCTTGCTAATACTAGTTAACAGCTATGACCAAAGGAATGTGGAGAGAGAGGAAAAAAGGGATTGTAAGCGTTGAGAGACATTGAAAATCAGAATTTTAGGAAACCGTTCATGAGCAATTAGGGCTGCTATCAAGACAATCTATCTAGAATTGGATGTTCTAGATGCTTCTACTTCATTCAAGAAGAACTGAAGAAGTGCTTAAGAGAAGGGCTAGTGAGTAGGGTGGGTCCAAGACAAGAAATGGCTTCAGGTACAGACGGTAGAGACATGTTCAGAGCGATCTTTGCCCAATATCCAAGTGAAGGCGAAGGTTCAAATGGTGCAGACAGTTACTTTCAATGCTTTCTTGGGTGCTGCTGACATTACTGCAAAGATCATGCTCTAATACTGTCAGTACAGTGTGAGCAATCCTTGGTGCTGCTGTTTTCCTAGTCTGTCATTAGAGCAATTGGGTTTTGGAAGCCTATTAACTGCTCCATCAAATGACCAAATCTTATTGATTCTGGAAGCCTATTAACTGCTCCATCAAATGACCAAATCTTATTGATTCAGAAACTATCTCCCTCCTCCCACAAAAGGGTAACAAGACCCTTTTTAATTGAGGTAAATTAATCCACAATGTATCTATTTATAGTATTAATACATCTTTGATTACATTATAAGGGCTACTTAGTAGATACTCTGTAAATGAGAGCAGGGTAAAAGTGGGAATTTCAGAAGAGGTGTATTCCTCAGAAAATAGTTCAATGGAGTTTGCTTGAAAATCATTGCAATGCAGCAATGCAATTTGGGACACATTGAATCACAAATTATGAGATTCAGGAGCAATATTCTAGATGGATATTTAAATAATGTGGAGGGCGTGTGTGGAGGGGAAGAAAGAGAAATTAATTTAATTCCATTTGCTGATGTGACTGTAGCACAACTATTTTTAGGTATAATCCAAACAGTGCATATCTTCTCCATTTTGATTAGTAGCAAATTGGCAGGGAGCCAAAAGAATAAGTATTTCTCAGCACATTATGCCAGAAACGTACAAATAAAATGAAATTACCTGTGCCAATGTATTTAATTTGAATTACTGCTAAGGTTTTTATTTTTTTTCCTTCAAAAGAACTAATGTGTCCAGCTTTGTTAAAAAAAAGAAATTTAAAACCTTTCACAAATGGCAGCAAAAGTTAATAATTTTCCTTTAGACTCTTGCACAGAAGCTCTTGCTAAAAATTTAAGTGTTAATATTATTCTGATACTTTGGGTGCAGAGTTTCCGCCTGGCAATTTTACACATCGCCCGAGGAAGTCAGTACATTCAACAAAATGCGAAATTAAAATAAGCTAGGAAAATGTGCTTAACAAGGAAACAAAGGTTTCACAATAGCCACTTAGAAGTTATTAATAATTCCAGTTCCAAAGAAAGCTTGGACAGAAAAAATAAACTCTATTTGCAAAGTTTTATATGGGCAAGTTCACCAAGGGACAAAGCTATATGTTATACCAATTATACATTTCTACATTGGAAGGAGAATTTCTAGATGCTGGAATATCTTGCTATACATTAGAGAATTTTATAGTGGGCAACATAAACTTAATTTCCAATGTAGCAAATCAATGAATCTTGATCATATTGAAGTTCACTGCTTTAATTTTAAGATTGATGCCTTTGGTATTTTGTTTCATACAAACCCATGGGGTAAGGCTGATTTTCTGCATATTCATCGCCCTCCTCCTTCACTTCTGCTGTGTGTTATCTCACCAGACTGGACAGGATTGGCAGTTTTTCTCCTCCCACTGCCATTGCTATTGGGATTCACAACCCAGCTTCCCACATTTCTATTATAAATCAGTCTGTCTTCTTCAAAAACAACCAAAAGTTTTCATGGGTAGTTGGAATCACCGACATGATCCGTTTCTGAATCCTTGTAATCCTCAGAGAACTCAGAAAAATCATTTTCTATTTCCTACAAATACATATAAACTAGTTTCAAGATCATAGTGGTTTCTGCTAATTAACTAAAGAATTTAGACCTGTCTACTAAGTAGTTAAATTATATACATATATATTTGTTATTAATGTTTAAAGGATTTTCACGATTTTAAGATCTGATGTTTGATGGGCCGATACATAAATTTAGGGCTGGGAAAATTTCTTTTTATTTAAATGTGAAGACTTATCTAGACAAAATAATAAACAGGAAGTCAGGAAAGGGAAGCATTAACCTGGTACTTGAGTGTTCTTCAGATGAAACTGTAGACATTAAGTCTATTAATTTTCTAGTATAAATTAAAATAAAGAGGAACCAAACCCCTAACAAAATGCATCCTACATACTTGTGGTGTGGGAAGGGAGGGGAGAAATGGACTGTATTTAGTTCCTAGGGGAAAGTATAGTGAGATTTCATCCTGGGATTGATTTTACATTCTCCAAAATTAGTTTAAGTTTTTATCTTTGTATTTTCAAAGAAGTTTTGTCATCTCCCCCCCCCTTTTTTTTTTTGCTAGAGAAAGGGTTTAAACTTCATAGCAGGTTTTGTTGAAACTGCTACTATTCATGCAACCTTCTGTTGGTCTCTAGAACATCTACATCCTTCACCTTTCTCAGAAGACGTCTCCTGGGCTTTAGAATATCCCATTGCAAAAAAGGATAGTCAGTCTTGACTTTTCCTAGTAGAGAATAGTCTCTTCATGTGTAATCTCAGCACGAGTCAAAACTTTATTCTCTTTAGTTTCTTTACTGTACGATCATGAAATGAAAAGCTTGTTTAAAAATCCACAGATAAATACTTAAACTTATTTTGGAAAATGTAGAATTAATCTCAGGATGGAATTTCACTATACTTTGCTTAGGAACTAATTTTTTCAAAAATATCCTATCCATTTGGTGTCATCATTTTCTTAGGAAGTTGAAAAATTTCACTTTTGCTTTTACCTGTGACCTGTCCACCTAGAACTTCTGCTGAAATGGTCTATTTAATTACACAAGAGAAAAAATACGTACTTAAATGCTTTTATATATTTTTGCTTAACCATGAAAGTATTTTGCATTCTAAACAGCCACTGGAGAAATCTGCACACACGGTCATCTGTAGGCTGTGGTTTTCTATCGGAAACAAAAGCAAGTCGTGGAAGCCACTTACCGAATTCCAAGTAGGAAACTGAGTGTTTACAGAGTTAGTCTCCTTTCCTGCGTTTCTGTGCAAAGTTGCAGCTGAGTTACCTGGCTTGATCACCTTCTTTTAGAAGACACATAATCCCAAATGTTACTTCTTAAGTCAAATGCAGCAAATGGGATACTGAAAACACCTACAAGTAGTCTAGAATACCTTGAATCTGGCTGTGAAAATTCGGGGCAAGTCTGCAGCTCCCAGTAGGTGCATGCTGTATTTGGTCTCCAGGCATTTTGCTAGGTTATTGAGTCATGAAAAGCTATTAAAAGAGCTCTATGGGAAATGCAGCCTACACTTTGAACGAAACAGTCTTCCATTGTCACTGACCCCTTACAGACACACGGTACATAATCTTGATCGTGCTTCATTGGTATTTATTGCACATGGACCAATTCCTCACACAGTAGTTAGTTGCACCAGAGTATAAATACTTGGTAAAACACAGAGGAAATAGAATTTACACACAAGTGCGAAATTTTACCAGCAGATTCATGTGGGCACTTGGACATAAAAAAATAATAAAAAAAATCCTTAAGATAATTATATTTATAATATGGATACAGTTACAGTACCATGATAAAAGAGTATAAAAAGCTATTTTCCCAATAAATCATTAGCTCAATAACATAATAGACAACAGAAGTAGAGTTTGAATTTTATTTTAGTTTTTAAGATCTGCACCCACCCCCCCACTCCCGTAAAAAATATTTAATTTCTTTTTGTGCAAGTAACATCTTCTGTGGACTTTGCAATTCCTAACACTGTGCAAAAATGGCATTTTGAACCACTCCTTTTTTTTATGTTTTTTGTTTTTACCCACATGTGCAGTAATCTGAACTGTTTCTACTTTTTTTTTTCCTTTTTCTGTCCTGTCTTCAATGGACAGAGTCACATGTCACAGAGGCTCGGCGCCTGGTCCTTCCAACTAATATTGATACATAAATAAGCTGTTTAATATAAACAAGTCTTTCTATCGTGCTGTGCAATGTGCACAGTGTGAGGTAGACACCCCTTGGCCTGACCTCCGAGGCGCGTGGGGACAGCAGGCTTGTCCTACAAAAGGAAAGCAAGGTGAGGCTTGTTCCAAGAATAGCTTAAAATTTCTTGAAACGTGATTTTGCATCCATCCTTTCCCTTTATTTTAAGAACAGGAGAAATCATGACTCAGGAATTAAAATGAAATTTTTCTGGAAAGCAAAAGGAAACACGTCCTGACCAATGGTCATCGCCCCCTCTCTCTCCGGCTGCCTGCTCCTGTTCCGAGAATGGGATGGAAGCCAGGTTGACAGACTTTTATGCCCTGATGCTTCTCCCCCCTACCCGGTCCTCGCAGAAAGTGTCAAAAACCACCTGGAAAAAAAAAAAAAATCTAAAGATGCATCACACGCACACACAAAAGATGACCGAACCACAAGCAGAAAAAAGAACCCAAGAAAGATAAGCAAGCTACTCTCCCACCCCTCCCAAACTTTCCTTTTTGTGCAACGGTCCGTGGCTCTTCTGTTTGTCTTGGATGATTCAGACGAGGTTTGTGGGCTTCGAGTTCACCTGCTTTCGGTCTTGAGTAAACACAGATCTCTCTCCCCTGGGAAGCCATTCAGGGGCACCCGGGCTTTCTTCCTCCCGGGGCGCAGAGCCTGCGTCCCGGCTGGGGAGGTGGGGAGGGACGCCGGGCCCTACACCTTGGATTCCGAGGCGCAGCCCGGGCGGCTCGGCTCGTCCAGGCTCGAGTCGCTGTCCGCCGCCGCCCCGCCGTTGCAGCCGGCCCAGGGCTCCAGCAGGCGCGTGGGCGGCGCGGCCCCGATGTCGTCGTCGTCGTCCTC